ATATACCTTGTTTTTTTGTCTAGGCTATCATTCGTTTTATAGAATTACGCACATAATAAAGAACATAAAATATATTCACTTTCTAAAATACAATAATTAAGCTGATCAAATTATTTGACAAAAAAGGGCGTAGATGAAAAAAATTGATTTGTTTCAACATATTATTGAACTATTCATCTGTGATTTTCTTGTGAACGATTATTCATGTTATTATCATGTATGAACTAGCTCTCGTCAAGATACATGTAATTAGTAACAAGCAATGATTAATATTCTTCACATCTGTATTTATATCAACTCAGTTGTTAAAATAATGATCTGTGTTTTATCAATCATGACTCTTTTTCAATAACCTCCATACAATATGACTTCGAGATATTACTGCAACGCATATATTATTTGGTAAATGATAATTTATTAGAAAATGTGAATGATTAAATAGTTTGATTACATATAAAAAAAGTATGATTCAGTTCACAAAAGAAAATGCCATTCTGTCTATATTGATTAATATACCTCGGTACTATTGAGAAGATTACCACCGTTGTTCTCTCCACCAGCAACTAATACCGATCCATTTGCTAATGTGGATGCTGTGTGATAACATCGTCTGATATTCATGCTGCGTGTAATTGTCCAACTACCGGTTGGTGAATTGTACAATTCAGCACTATTGACTGAACCACCGCTGTTCTGTCCACCAGCAACTAATACTGATCCATTTGCTAATATTGATGCTGTGTGATATTCTCGTGCTGCATTCATGTTTCCTGTGGTTGTCCAGGTGCCCGTTGATGGATTATACAATTCAGCACTATTCAGATTAGCACCATTGTTTCCACCAGCAACTAATACGAACCCATTTGCTAATATGGATGCTGTGTGAAGACTTCGTGCAGCATTTAGGTTTCCTGTGGTTGCCCAAGTGCCTGTTAATGGATTGTACAATTCAGCACTATTGAGATAACCACCACTGTTAAATCCACCAGCAACTAAAATTGATCCATTTGCTAATGTGGTTGCTGTATGTGATTTTCGTGCGATACTCATGTTTCCTGTAGTTGTCCAAGTGCCTGTTGATGGATTGTACAATTCAGTACTATTGAGAAAAATACCAGTGCTGCTTGCACCACCAGCAACTAATATGAATCCATTTGCTAATTTGGATGCTGTGTGATAATATCGTGCGCCATTCATGCTTCCTGTAGTTGCCCAAGTCCCTGTTAATGGATTGTAAAATTCAGCACTATCGAGAGAAACAGTGAAGCTTATTCCACCAGCAACTAATACTGATCCATTTGCTAATGTGGATGCTGTGTGAATATATCGTGCAGCATTCAGGTTTCCTGTGATTGTCCAAGTGCCTGTTAATGGATTATATAATTCAGCACTACTAAGACAACCACCACTGTTATATCCACCGGCAACTAAAACTGATCCATTTGCTAATGTGGATGCTGTGTGAGCATATCGTGCAACACTCATATTTCCTGTTATGGTCCATTCTAAATAAGAAAGAAAAATAAGAAAAAAATATTGTTCTTAATATAACTTTGAATCTCTCATGTGCATAAGTCGTCTACCCATTGATGACAGATTAAATAATTTCAAATCGTCAATAAACTTCTCTTTCTTTTCATGATTAAGATAAGATTCATTATGAAATGTGAAATCAAATTAATGAAAAATATGTCACAAACGATTTCATTGATTTTTTGCGAGTTCTATCGATGTTGCGAACTGATGAAATTTAAACACTCTTCTACAATTCAGTTATGATGAATAATGATCGAATTTTACACTTTAAGTAAAAGTCTTTCTACATCGTTCAACATAGTGAATACAAAGTGTACTTCGACTATGGTGAATGCATGGTGTATGTATGTGTCAGCTTATGACTGTGAGTAAAAGAATACATTTCTCTCATCGTTATCATGAGAAAATCAACACACTAAGGGTTAATTAATGATGATGAAAGATATCTTTTTCGCGAGTTCGAAGTTTGTATTTTATACTTCTACGATATTTTTTTTTAATTACTCAACTCTTTACAAATGCGACCTAAAACATGAGATTAGATGTTGATAGATATTTCTCATGTCGATACTATGTCAAGTAATACTTCAACGTGTAGAGTTATTCTCCGAGCATCTTGAGAATGGGTGTGGTATGAGTGATTACTAAAATAATCAATGAGTTCTATCGTATGAATATCTTTTTATCAACAATATTTTCATCTACTACTGTTGGACATGACAAGGATATTCAATACTTAAATAAATGTAAATCGAATCAAATCATCAAAAACGGACCCTATTTCGACTTCCAATAGGAAATGTTCACTAATGTTGTCTATTTAGATTGCGATCATTCAATAATTAAAATCATAACCTTAAATATTGTCACCTCTATTAATCATTCTTAGAGTTACTACAAATGATTGAAGGTAGTACTTACGCGACATTGCTGTTGTTGTCGTTGTTGTTGTCGTTGTTGTTGTTGTTGTTGTTGTTGTTGTTGTTGT